TTAGCTGCGTTTCTGTCACCGGAAAAAAAGGCTATTCCTGGATCTTTCAGTGACTTTGCGGTGTCCCTGAGATCAGCAGGTGCCCTTCTCAATCACCATCTCTGCGGGATGGTTTAGGTCCGAATGAACCGTCCAGCGGCAAAAATATTGACTGTGATCTCGGAACATAAGATCACATGTCGTGCTGTCGCGATGTCAGCCCTTTTTTCTGAATAAGTTTCATTCTTTTTTTTGTTTGCTTTGAAGCCATTTTCAAATATTCAAATCACACTTTGCAGCAGCCAAATTATTGAGTCCAGAAAGTCCACTTAATCCCCAAATTTGTTAAATCTTATAGTCTGTTAGTGAACCAATGCTGTTTTCTTTAATCTTGAGCTCTTTGTTCTTTTAAAATTGAGTCCATTGATTAGAGCAAGGTTAACGACGTTAACAAGCACTTAACAAGTACTTTTCTTTTAAGTTTCACTTCCACCACACCCTTAACTTTCAGGCGCCATCTTCATTTCCCTTTTATTCTCCTCAATCTTCACCGAAGGAAGTAATACTGCATCAGAGTTAAAGTTTGTACTTGCAACTATAATCACTCCTGTCTTTGCTCTGCCTGCTTCTTATTCAGATGTTGATTAAAGCGTTGTTTGCAGGGATGGTCGCGGCGTTTTGCTTTGCTACAGCAGAAACGTCCCGAATGCAGAGCTCTGCCGGGCTGCTGGGGAGCTCTCACCCTTCAAGCCCCAGAATTGCTCCTGGGGGTCTAGGAGAGCTCTACTCTGGCCCAGCTGCTCACCTCCCCCTTTTCCCAAGGGGAAAGTTTTCAAGCTGCTAGAAAGCTGATTTACGCTGTTCTAGCAGCTTACACTCAATCATGGGGCTGGCATTCCAACAGGAGCGTCTTTCAATGCCTACGGTGCCAGTGGAAGCCCAATAAGTTTCATTCTTGATTTCAGTGAGAGAAGTTGGTTGCAAACAGCAAAATTGTATTTCTGTTGATATGTATAAAATGATCATGCATGCATGAAATACATTTAACTTTTTAATGTTAGTTTTATGTGGCTGCAATAAGATTTTTAAAAAATGTATTTCACATTTATTAGATAAAATGTACAAGAGTCTATTAATATCTGCTGGAACGACTAGCTCAACCAAGTCAATCATTAATATAAGATTAAAGGACCATAAAGTTAGTTCTTGATTAACTATGAAAATTGGGACCAGAATTTCCATTCCATTGCAGTTGTAAAATGTGAAATCACGTTAGCATCAGTTAGCAACAGCAATCCTGGCAATACCTATTGCTGTCATTAAGCAAGATTCACAGGGCATTAAGCAAGGACCTCTTCACAACACCCTGCCATTTTCCAACAAGCATCATCAATGGGGAACCAGCAGGAAGTTGCACATCTCAGGCAGCTTACAAGGGTAAGGGACATCTACAAAGGGGTGGTGCAGAGCCAGCAGTGTGGCTTGGGGTGGCTACTGCTGGGTCGGGGAGGATATACAGCATGAGCATGTGTGAAGATCTGGTGTGGTGTGAGCAGTGTGGAGTGGAGTGGCTGCTGTCAAGTGCAAGATACTTATCTGAGCAATTTGCCATCTTCCCTGATCAATTTTCCCTTGATGTTTTTGTGGAAAGCCACCACGGAAGGTTGCATTTGGCAATCATATGACTATGAGATACTGCAACCATCATTAGGTGTGAGCTGGGCACTAAAGCACTCAGATCACAGTCACATGATTGCTGGGGTGCTGGGACAGCCAGAACTTTGAGGACTGGTCGTAAGTCCCACTCATTGAGCACCATTGTTAACTTTGAACAATCACTGAACGAATGTTCATTAACTGAGGATACTTTTCTTCAGCAGAACAGATAAAAAAGATTTGGATATCTTGGTAGAGCACAAACTGAACATGAGCAAAATTGTGATACAACTACAAAAAAAATTGGGTTATATTGTATTAGAAATAACTATCAAGATCAACTATCAAACTTTCCATTATGGATTGGTACAATTCTAGGCTCTACAATTTAGGAAAGACATTGTTACACTGAGGTATCTCCAGCCACAATGATAAAGGCTTGGAAGGAAATGTTTATGAGGAAAATTAGAGTAATTTATTTAAGCTGGGAGGAAACTGCATTGAGACAGGGTAGCTGTTTCAAAGTACCTGAAGGGCTGCTATATAGATGCTGGAGTCAAAGTGCTTAGATTTCTTCCAGTAGAAACAATGGTTTTAAATTAAATAATTGGTTATCAGGTAAAAAAAAACATAACAGTACACTACTGCAACAGTGGAATAGACTGTTTCTGGATATGCTTAATCAAAGGTTTAATTGCCATTTTCCCAGACTCTATAAGATTATATCATTCTTAGAAAATCATTCTTAATACTGTATTTTTGTATTTGTATAGTGGCAATGATTCTTAATAGTGCATGTTCTTACATTGATGTTTCTAAATTAAACATATTACTCCAAATCAAAGACATTCCTTTAGTATTTAATTTGAACTGGGAGGATAAAATACCTTATTTCTGTTATAATCATTATTTGTTTATTCAAATTTATTGACCACCCAACGCATGTTCTCTGGGTGGAATAAAGAAATACAAATAACATAAAAACTAAAAGCATTAAATCAATCAGACATCCCAGACAAACTCTAATAAACAACAAAATGAACTAAAGAAACTATATCTAATGCTTAAACATTTATTATGCATGAATGTGCAGCCTCTACATTCTGTGGCACTTAGTGGGCTAAACAAAATTTAGTAATTCCTTATTTTTTTCTTACAGATTAAGATAATGTAGCACCTGAAAAATGTTTAAGAAACTACAGGTGTTTATGATGAACAGGTTAATAAACCACCCTCAAAGAGTATAATGCAGATAGTTGCAAGTGATCAGCTTCTTTAGTTTCAGCATGAATCATCTCCTCAGTGACCACAATTCTGCCATCCTGCCTCCTTTAAACTTCAGAGGAAGAATCCTTAGGTCTGCACTGGTTTCCAGAATTTTCACCAGTTAGTATCTCCTACTGTGCAGCATATAATTGTTACCATCTTTTTAAAATTTAATGTATATACTTGAACATAGTATGTGTGGTCAGACTAATACTGAATATTCTATTCCACTTCAAAATTAACCTGAGATTAGGGAATAATTTTGCTACTATTGCAGTAAGAAATACCTTATTTTGAACTTAAGTAAGCCATTATTTTTCAGCCTCATTATATAACTTTGGGAAACTAAGATACATTTTAATCTTTTAACATACTTTAACTGATGTCCTTTGGGAGCAAATTATCTAGAATTCTACGAATTTTTTCAAGAGTTCCAGGGACTCTTTTCAAGTGTACTTTCCAATTCTACTTTAAAAAAATCAATACCCTATTCTCCAATCTCATTAGTTACTGAAGATTTCTGTTTTGCTTTAATAATAGCATTAATGGAAAGTTTCACCAGTTGGTAGCTCCCACTATATAATTGGATGTCCTTTTAAAATTTGATGTCTATACCTGGAATAAAAACATTAATGGGAAGTTTCGCAATTGGAAACCCTGTTATGCAATCTGTATAGTGCAGCTATTTGTCATTTTTCCTTTCCCATCAGTTTGCTAGATTTAAAACATTTTGTTGTATCTGAAAAACAATTAAAAAGTATTGGGATTAATATTGAAGGACTATAGGCAACAGAAAATTAATTATGCAGCGTTTCCCAATCAGGCATGTTCTAAATGGTTTAGGGCTACAACTACCAGGAAGTTATGGCACCAATGCATTTCAATGGCATTGGGTTATAAAAAATAGATACCATATATAAAACACTGTTTCCCCTAATCTTTGCCATAGATCCAACCCATAGAAAATATAATATCCTAGAAAATGGGTATCTGGTCTCTATTTAACCCCATCCCCAATTCTTTATCATAAAACTGCAGTTTTATCCCATTTAAATTGAAGTCCTATTCCACTGCTAAGTGAGAACTATCTTGAATAAAAATGGAAAAGAATGCATGACACTGCTGAGGATAGCTTTTATTCTAACTCCCTATTATTGTTCCTAGTCAAGATACAACTACCAAATATATTAACTTCAGGAGAAAATAATTTATATCATTAAAAAAAAAACTATTGCAAAGAGAAATCAAGTCTACACTTATTTTAAAGTGCAAATAATTTATTACTGTGGATAACAAATTGCTAAAAAAACAATCCCCTTTTCCTAAAGCTTCCAAAAAGCATAATAGAAATATTTTATACTAAAGTAGCAAATCAAATCTAAAAACATCCCTTCATTATCTTTGTTTTCTTCCTTATAAATACTAAACCCAGCTCTCATCATATCCAATTATTCTCACCCTCTCTGCTGACCCTGCAGCTGGCTCATTTATCATATTCTTTGTTAGAGACATCCTGTCAGATAACAGGTTAAAATGGCTTCACTCTGATTTATTCAAAATCACCTCCATGCTACTTTGAATATATTTTATTTCTAAAGATTTGTATAAATACCTAAATACAATGTAAATACTGTATAAAAGTTACTGCTATCAAATTTCCAAACTTGAAAAATTGGGGCAATTAACAATTTCAATTGTCAATTAACAATTTCAATTACTTCCAAGTCTTTCAAAATGCACTGGGTACAAATCTCATGTCAATATTGTAAAAAAATCACAAACAGAAGACTGGCTTGTTCATTCAAAATACATGTACTTCATTTTACTCATTGTAAGAGTGCAAAGGATAAATAGCTTTTAGGAATAAATTCTTAATTTTATTTTTCTCATGTTTAAAAAGCGTTATTTTGAGGAAATAGTTAAAATGCATTAACCATTGCTAAAACAAACACATTTTTTGAGTGACTTAAAGAAAATATGTGCTCTCATGAAAATATTTCTCCGTTCTCCAACTGAACCTGAATTCAAACAGTAACACCATAATTAACACCTAGTCTAAGATACAGGTTTTTCTTCAGATTAAAACCTGCTGCTAAATGTTAAATATATAAGCGTCTTTTTAAGTGATTCAAATCATTTATATTAATATCTTGCAAAACTATTACTTTTCCTTTTGTTTGGCAAACATTAAATTCAATAGTCATCAAGCAACAGAGGTCTATTAGTTCTGTTTGACAATTCTGTAATCCCTCTTTAAGCTTTGGGTACAGGACAGGATCTTTCTTCAGTTGCTTCATTTCAGGCACAGAAAAGCCAATTAAGCTTGTAAGAATCTCATCAGCAAATTCAACTTCTAGATAAGCTGTGCCATCAGATATTTTTGCTGTTACACTCCAGAAACCATTACTGCTTGTGAGATTTCCTGTAAGAGTTACTATAAATGCTTTGATTGTCACAGTAGTATTATCTCTGCACTTGCTACTAAACAGAACACATAGATATGTAAAAGGAGCAGTATCCAAATCAACTTTGTGACATTTATTCTTTACTTTTATCATCTCTACCTGCTCAGAACACAATCCGAATTCTGCACTGATGTCTATTACTCCATCATTAGAAATTTTAGAGGATTTTTTACTGCCATCTAAATTCTGGGTGTACTGTCTTTTATGATTTGTAGTAAAAACTGCCGTGCTTTCTTCAAACACATTATACATTGCTCTTTCACTAGATTTTTTTTCTTGAACAGCTTCATTATTTATACTAGATTTAGTGTTCAGAACATGTACCGGTTCTTGCTGTATCGCTTCTACTAAAAGTAAGTCGTCATCCATTGAAAATCCATCAAAATCGCCTTCCATATTTTCTAGAACTGAAACAGTTTGTAGTTCTTCATTTCTTGAAATTGACTCTGCAGATCTTTGTTGTGAGCAGTTTCCAAAGCTCTGAGGAAAAGAAGGCACAGTAGAATTTAAACTGGTACTTCTTGAATAGTATCCACTTTCAGGAGGAACTTCATTTATCCTTATTTCATCATTTTCTTCAAGAGTTGCCAAAAGCTCTTCATCAGAAAGCCCTAATTCATCATCAGGCCTTGCAATTTCATTTTCACCAATATCAGACCTGACAATGTTAGGACTACAGTCTTCTTCTCCAATTAATCTGGCAAGCACTCTCTCCAAAGCAAATGTCTCTAGAAGGCTATCAACTTCACCTCCCAATAATTTCACATTTTCTGGTTTAAGCAAAAGAACACCTAAACGAAATGCAACTTTCCCTTGTATCATAATTTTGGTACCTGGAGGTAGACCACTATGGAGTTGAGGAATAGGTTGATATTCCATACCTTGGATATGATGTATACCATCAGTTATTTGTAGCAGAAGCATTCGAGTAGGATTTTCCTCCCATGACCTCAAGGATCTCTGTGTATAAGCAGTTACTTCCTCATTTACAGTGTTTTTTCCTCTTATTTTTTGCAACTGGGAATAAGCAGGCTGACTCACATCAACAACTGAATCAATTTGCACTGAATAAAAGCCATTCAATTCTCCTTTTGGATCATTTAAAATGAATTGAGGCAGAACAGGGTATTCAAGATCTCGGAGATCTGTAAGAAGCCATTGCTCAAAAACTTTCTTGTTAATAGCAGCCTGAGCCAAATTGCTTCCATGATGTCCTTTTTCAATCCAATCAATACAAGCTTCTAGCCATCGAGTTGGTACTTTCACATGCCAGGTAGATAAGAGCCAAGTTTCCACTCTTAGTGCAACACCTAATGTGGTCATTTTCTTCTAAGATAAAAAAAGAAAAAAATGGTTTTTTTTTTAAAAAAATGGCATTACATAAATCTTTGGGGTTGGCAGATTTTTTGTGCACGAGTTTCATAATACTTTATTCTATTCTGACTCTCATATCGTTGATTCTCTTAAATTTAACAGCATGGCAGATTATTTCTAATGAACAAAGCAAAATATAATGGTGTCCCATTAAGAAACTCATTTATCAGGCAGCTTGCTTTTAATAAAACACGCATAGAAACCCGCAGGAAGCATTGGCATTCAAATATATTCACTGAACGTAAGAGGATATCATCTAAAAACCACACTTGGGACTGAACTGCACTATTGTCCAATTAAAAGTGTGCAAATCAATACAATTTTAGCTATAGGTAAACAAGATGCTGTTTTCGGGCTTCTTGCAGATTCCCCTCCCTTCCCTCAAGGCTGTTCGGTTTCAGTGTTTTTGGTGAGAAACCCGAAGACTTTCTCTTCTCTTACCACTTCTGCGACATATAATCCCACGGCCCCAGCCCCACGAAGTGACGAGCTCACGGCTCTCCTCTGGTCCCCACAACACTGATGTCCGGCCCTGCCGCCCCACTTCTCCCTCCTCCTTTTGTTTTAAGCGCCAAAGCGGACCGAGAACCAAACTTCCTCAGCTCTCGCGAGAATTCCTCCCTCTGTCCATTATCAACTGTGAGGATGAGGCGGAGTTTTCGCTGACGCCATTTTGTTTTTCCCCTCGCGCCCACTGATTAGGGTCAATTTCGCTCTCCTTGAAGCAGCAGTAACGACTGTAAAGCGGTTGGGATCGATTTTTTTTAACGTTCTTTCCCCCCTCCCCCCCCACAGTAAGTACCCACTCTCTAAACAGGGGTGAAAGGAAAGAGAAAAGATAGGTAGAAGGGGCGATAGAGATATAGATAATATATACAGGTATGTTACAGTGTCAGCCGCTTTAACGGCCTGAAGCAGAATTAGCTGTAGCGGCGCGCCGACAGTTGCCGCGGTGGGCGGGAGTAATACTCAATAGTGTTTCCAGGTAAAGAACGACACCTGTGACAGCCAATAAGGATTCAGGAGTGCAGCTGGCGAGCGAATAGGAGCGACAGTAGCGCGGTGAGTGTGCGCGCGCTCTTGCTTTTTGAGCTTTTATCGTACTCGGGAAGCAGCTTCGGCGGCGTTTAGTCCGCTGCCTGGTGAGGAAACCGGGCGAGGTTACCGGACTGACCGTTAACGCCCTTCCATCTTTTTGTTGGTGGGAACTACATATGTAGCGTCTACATACTTAGGCCTACAAAATTAACCGGTACGTGTTTAAAATGGGCAAATGTCTTCGGTTGAAGGGTGGGCCGGTGTTGTTATTACACCACGGCAAGAGAGGCGCTTTTCGGCCTGCGGCTATCCTTAACCCTCCACCGTCGATTGCCGCATGTGCCTCCTGCTGCAGGAATCATGGCGGCTGGTTGTAGTTGGGAGGGGCGAGGAGGAGAGAGCGCGAGGCGTTCCCTTCTCTTGGTGGCCCCGTCGGATTTCGGTAGGCCCCTGCGCCCGCTTCGCCTTCCCGGGAAAAGGAAAAAAATAGGGGGCAAAGAGGTTCCAGGCATCTTTTGTGTCTCCTTGAATCCGTGTTTCTGGAGCTGCCGCGTGGCGGTGTTTCTTCCGCTCGGGACTCCTCCTTAGCAGCTCGTGATCGCCATTACTGCTCAAGCTGGCGTTAAAGCCGCCATTTTTAGTTAGCATTTCAGCCGAGGTTGTCCGAGATTGTCTGGTCGCGGCTAGGCTTCTTCACCTTTTGTATCATTGTGTGGTAGGGAAGGAGTCGTTTAGGTTAAGGTGGTTAAATCAGGCCCGCCTTGTCAGAGCCGGAAACGAGCCGCTAGTTCCCTGCTGTCCATCCTGCTCGCAACTCGCGTGATTGAGGAGAGAAAGACCTGGAGATCGGTTTTGAACAGAGCATTGCTTTATTAGCTCAGGCACCTTTTCTTCGCTTACAACCAGGGCTTAGTTAATCATGCTTGACGCGTCCTCTCTAATATAGCTGTTGCTCCTGTCGATTATTAAAAGGACTGTAAATAACATTTCTCCCCCAAGCAAATAACCAAAATCCTTTGTGTGCAGGGGGCATATATTTTACCAGTTGTAATGAGGTTGTACTAAACTTGAAGAAATATTGTACTTTGTAGCAATACCAGGCTCATTGCAATTTTAAAATTATCGGTTGATTTTTCTTATTTAGAACATTTTGTGTCCGAATTGTACATAATTGCAAGTTCATCTAAAAAAGTTCAGATCATTTAATTTTACAGTTCTGAGTTTAGCTTGCATTCATTGTTCTTCCAAGATGAGCTAAAGGGCAATCTAATAAAGATTAATATAGAGATTATACAAAAACATATATTGCATATGTTGGAATTTAGTATGATGATCAATGTTTGGTTGTTAGAAGAATTATACATATATAGAAATACATTTTAGCTACCAAAGCAGGTAACTTGCACCTCGTAAGAAAAAGAAAGCAGAATGTGATCTTTTTTCTTAATATTTGTGCTTTCAAATTGAAATTAAAATTGTTAAAATTAACTTCTGCCTGTTAAAATACAGCATGGTTTGTTGATAAAGTTAGTCAAAGGAATAAATGCTGCAGAATAGCAATATATTTGCTAAAACATATTTACTGATTCACTTTTTATGTTAATTCTTGCAGCCTAACCTAAATTGAGAGCCAGTTCAGTTTAGTGGTTAGTACTGGACTAAAGCCAGAAAACCTGAATTTTGTCCTACTTTAGGGCTGGAGGTCAGCAGAGTGACTTTAGAGTAGTCACTTTCCCTCAACTCTAGAAAAAATGCAGTGACAAGTCACTGAGGAAAATCCTTGTCCATATAGTTGCCAGGAGTCAAGACTGACTCCATACAAGCACTCCCCTGTAAATTAACAAGATCATGCCTTCATGTATGCTGCTTTTCATAGGCTACTTGATTGTTGATCCCACCCAGAAGATTTACTTGGCAAAGATATATAATACTGGTAAGTGCTGGCAACCCATTGCTAACCCGTCATGTTCTCTAAGATTCTGTTTGAACGCTTTGGTATATTTATATTTAATGGTTTTGTCTTCAAGTTTGAAAACAATGGAGACTGAACAGCAAGAGGAGACCTTTACTAACACAGAGACAAATGGTAAGTTTATAAATGATAAAATAGTAAATTTACAATACTAATTATATAATAGAATTTATTATGAGCCCCATAACAGTTACTGAAACTTGAAACATGCTCCCTGTATTCCAGGTGAGGGTTTAGGGATTAGTGTAAATTTGTTTTGCTGTCAATTTTTTTTCTAAAACATTCACAAAACCCTGCTTGAGATTTTGGACTCTCATTACATCTTCATTTTTATAATTTTGATTTAAATTGAATTTTAAAACCCGAAAAAATTCATTTAAGTTCATTTGAAATATTTATCTTCCCAATCCTACAGGGCTCTTTTGGTAATCGTTAGGTATACGATAGATAAATAAATTATTGGTGCATGAAATAAAGATGCACGTGCTTCCATGCTTCAAGAAGCCATTAAAAAGCATTTTTTGTAAACAGTTTATTCTCTTAAATGTTAGGCAAACGACCAGCTGAGGATACAGAAGAGGAACAGGCCTTCAAAAGGTCAAGGAACACTGATGAGATGGTGGAACTGCGCATTCTGCTTCAGAGTAAAGTATGTTTATTTCCTAATTTACTGACTACATTGACCTCCTATCTCTCTCCTCCCCCCCCCTTTATTCTTTATTGAAGTTATTTAGGAAACCTTAAACTACTTTGTAACTTTTTTTTTAGAATGCTGGAGCAGTAATTGGCAAAGGTGGCAAAAATATTAAAGCACTTCGTACAGACGTGAGTATTTACAAACTAAACCCTTATTTTGCAAAACATAGCATTAAGAATATATTTCTAGTCATGTATAATTTAAGTAATAGGCTAGTCTAAGCCATTTGTAATCATCTTTAAACTCAAGTCTCACAATTCATTCTTTGAATTAAGACAGAAAGTAATATGATGAGATTCCTATCCTTTATTTTACAGTAACTTTGCAAAGAGTGGTAGCATATTTACTTTTTTATACTTGAAAATTTGTTTAAAATAGTTGTTTTTAGAAGACATTACAGATTACTATTCTTTACTTAGGTATACAATGCTTTTTTTCCATCAGGCTTATTTCTCTAATAGAGAAAGATTCATATGAGTATTATATATAGAAACAACATAGTAGCTACTTTCTCATCTGGAAGGAATTTTACGTGAATGTAACTTTAAATATATTTACACATTTTTAGTGGGTTGACTCTTGTGAATAGACACGTTTAGCATTATCTAAGCTTTATAGTTTAGCACCAAACTTTGTAAAAAAGCAATATCTTTATTGTGCATAATCAATTTTTTCAATATAGTAATACTCGTATTTAATGAATTATTTGGCACTACATTGTTTCACATTGTGTTTGATATTTTCATTATATTGTAAAATAAACTCTTGTAGAATGTTATAACTGTCAACCTTTAGTTACTAGATCTGAGGTATAAGCAAGGACTGGGTAGTAATCACTTGTACATTAACTGACCTTTCTGAAGCTAGTGTACTTAAAATTTCACATACCTAAATCCAGATTTCATACACATAATTCCTGGATTAGTAGTGGCTTTCCCTATTTCCCAGGATTTCAGAAAACTGAATCTCTACAGATCTTGTGTCTACCCTCATGAGCCAGCCTGCTACTGCAACTTTTAACTTTCAAAGTAGTTTAGGCCAAGTAACTCATTATTACGTCCATAACTGTTAAGCCACAGTCAATGTAGCTATCCGTTATTGTGTTAAGTCTTCAGAACAACTTAAGCTTGTAATGAGTATAGTTTGTATTAAATTAAAATTTATTGCTTTTCCCCCTCTTCCCTCTCCTTGTTTTTTTGGCCATATATCTCTCCGTTGCCCATGTACTGGATCGACTTGCCCCTGCGTTGCCCACCATGACGTTGGCCCATCCGCCCCTGAACGCCCATGTGAAAACCCTGGTTGGCTATGCCCAAAAATGTGCTCGTTGCCAAACGGGTGCCTTACTTGACAACTTCTGATTGAATGCCCATGCCCATTGCCAACATCCACGAACGCCAATGACCAATGCAGTACAATGCCAGTGTTTCAGTCCCAGACAGCAGTGGCCCCGAGCGGTATGTCCCAACAGTTTATGCCTCACTGCCTGATTAGAAAGAGAGAAATGTATATTATTACCTGCCTTTTATATAATTAAATAGTATCCCCGTAGACGGTGTATTGTTTTTAAGTTTTCTGTCTTATTTTCCCCATTAAGTCTTTTTGTCACTGAACTTTTACGTGAGTTACCCACCCAACAAACCACTAATTTTATTTCAATGGAAGGAGCACAGCTTCAATTGTATATTTTCTGCATTGTAAATCAGATTGTTTCAAAATAGTCTCGCTCTGCTCTGTCTTTGTGGCCCACCTTGCTCCCTCAGCATTGCCTGTTCATAATTTTTCTGATGAAATGCTAACTCCTGGTTCACTCTCCTTCACTTCTCATTTGTGTTGTCTTTTTGTCTTGCATTTGTATTTCTTTTCTTGCAGAGCCCATTAGTAATCTAATTTTAACTGGTCTCATAACCCTATTCCAAATACAGTGTTCACCTCTTGCATATTCACGTTCCTTATGAGAAGGTGTGCCAGTTTAACAATGTAATAGTGAGGGTGTCCTAAATTAATGGTGGCGGGGAACATAAATATTCACTCCTGCTTTCAATTCTTCATCAGTATCTTGTCCACTTAATCTGACTCCTTCCAAGAAAGTCATTCGCTATCTCCCAAACCTTATTTTAAACTTATACCATTTATAATATTGGGCATAAACAAAGGTGCATGTTCTGTATCTTCAGTAAACAGAATTAAGTGGGGAATATTAACTGTAGTTTCTGTTCTATGAATTGATTTATAATCTGCATACATATGAATATAGAACTTACTTCATTTCCCCCTCCCCTCTTTTTGTAACACCTTGATGTGATTTAACAGTATACTGAGTATAAGTGCAGATATTGAAACAATTGGAGAAATTCTGAAGAAAATTATCCCAACATTGGAGGAAGTGAGTATTGATCTATTTCACATTACATAACCGAATCTTTAGATCTGGATGCGCATGTTTTGATAGTGAATTTTGCCAATTAACACGAGAAAGCATGTCTAAAGATGGTGGCACATATGGAAGAATTTTATATTGCGATTACAGGAACTAGGAAGTTCTCTTCTGCCAAGTAAGGTGATAACCGTACCTAGTTCAGTATTGAACTGATTTGACAGCCATTTTCCAAGACCTCATAGTAGACATTTTCTATCAATCTCCATTAGCAAAAGCATATCGTATTTTAACATTTCAGACACTATAAAGATCGTTGTATAATCACATACTAATAAGTAAGGGTTATTTGGTCTTCCTATATATATATATATATATATATATATATATATATATATATATATATATATGACTATTTGATGTAAAAAATAAAAACATCTTTGGAAAATCTATTAATGTAAACCCTCAGCAGGATTATTTGCTTTAACCATCAGACTCCCAAAGCATCACAGTAGTTTGAAATATAATTTTATTTGAATATGTTAACTGCAAATAACTAGAATGGGTTTCTTCAAATCACAACATATTTAATTTAAAAAACTAAATCTAGACTTAGTAGATGGGGAGTTCTAGAAATTAGAACAGAAGAAAACAGCATGTAGCCGCACTGTTTTAATTCAACTTACGTAACACTATATTTTAAAAATGTACTAATTTCATGTTCACATCATTGTCTTGTTAATTTCTTACATCTTATAACAGTACCAGCATTACAAAGGAAGTGACTTTGACTGTGAATTGAGACTATTGATTCATCAAAGTTTGGCGGGAGGAATTATTGGTGTCAAGGGAGCTAAAATCAAAGAACTTCGAGAGGTAACAAACTTGTCAATTGAAAGTTTTAAAAATACTATATTCTCAGCATAGATGTAGCCAGCTTTCTTGCGTATTTATTTCCTGTGTGACTATACTAGTCCAGTTACATATCTGCAGGCTTTTTATAAATTGAATTGTAAAAATTTTCAAAAAATGCTATCTGTAATAGATTAAATAAGAACTCAAATTAAGTCTCCAAAGACCTGTAGAAAAACTATTTTCTGAAAGATAATATTGGTGGAGAGAGTATTTCAAAGAGTAAGGACAGCAATAGAGAAGTATTACTTTCAGAATCTCACTTTCTGAATTAAGTAAATTCAAAGCAAAATGAATAGGTCATCAGCTTGGAGGAGGCTATCCTGCAGTTATTTGGTGTTTACCCTGTAAGGATATAAAGGTTAAAACTTAATTCTATTCCTAACACCTGTTGGAAGCAAATGCAGCATCCAAAAAGTAGATATTCTATTGCTGAACTGGCTTGTATCATCAATGTGTAAACTGCTGCATCTTGCGGTTTTTGGATAATAGCTAGAAATGACTTGGTAAGTGCCAGAAATACAACAATCTGCTGTATGATGTGAAATTACAAGAATAAAGCCTCAAAGCTAACATTATAAATACAGGTGAGATTTAGTGTTGACTATGCTTGTAGAATATCAACCTCAAAAAGCCTAAATATTTTATAATATATGGAAATATATTCAGTGAAAGAAAAGGAAAAAATTCTACCATATCATAGTCTCTGGGAGTGCTGGATAGCACTATACTTAAATTAATTTTACAGATGAAATTTATATTGCTTAAAGTTTCTAAACGTTTTCTAGTTTTTCTTGCTAGTGTACCTTAGCAAGTGGAAACAACTCATAGTAATGGCAGTAGTTTATGTAGCCATTATTCTTGGTAGTCTAAAGGATCACTGAATATTATGCCAATTAAAATAGTTAAAATATTAATTCAGTGGAACACAAAAGTCATATTTAAGTACTATGTCAAGCAGCCCAACTGAATAAATTTTGCAAAAATATTAATGACACTTTGTTGGATTTAAGGAACCTTTGGCACTAAAGAGACCAGGGTACAGATAATTCATTTCCATTATCCAAAATAGTGGCTGAGCAACACAATAAAAACTGCATTATAACATGTAGCTCTATTTTAGATTTTTAAATTTGGAGATACTACTTTTATTTTCATGAAGGGAATATGCTACAATAGAATTTCTTTACATTCATGTTCTGATACGTCTCACCAGTATTCTCTTTCTGAATTAATCAATTCAGTAGGTGAATTGTTCTGCGAGCTCATATTCTTTTCCATGCTAGCATATGAGATTCTGTACATTGCATTACTTTCCATTCCATGCTGTTATAGCATCTTTAAAAGATACTGTCTAGAATTATGGCCAGTAGTAAGGATTTGGTTGAAGGTAACTGAAATGAAATCCTTCACAAGCAAAATTGATTTTTCAGTTCAGATGTAATGGAAAAGTATTCTAGAGTGGGTTTAATGAAGGTCAGAGTTTTAACGGCAGTATTAAACATTGCGGGAAAACATTGCTAGGAAGAAGTAAGAAGTATTAAACATTATTAAATATGTGAGGAAAATAGGGTTTGTTGGATATGTTCATAGTCTTGAGTTATTTGTAAAAAACAATAAAAGTGGGATATAAATAAATAAAAATTACTGACTTAAAAGTTTCTTCATTTTCTTGACAGAACACTCAAACCACTATTAAGCTTTTCCAAGAATGTTGCCCTCATTCTTCTGACAGAGTGGTACTAATTGGTGGAAAACCTGATAGAGTTGTGGAATGCATCAAAATAATACTGGATCTTATATCAGAGGTAATTTAATTCAGAACACATTTGCATACTTATCTCCCTCTGTATAAAGTATATTTAGAATTGAATATGTAGGGATATAATAAAGTATAGAAAGGCAAAGCTGTTTAGCTGATATAAGATTTTAGATTAGACACTTCTACAATAGATATTTGGTCAGTACTTTTATTGCTGTTTTATTGTTTCTTTGTAATAGTACAATCAGAATAGTATATTAAGAAGCAAATGCAACGCAATGTTTACAAAGGTTTAAAATGAGATGACTGAATATATTGAGTTACTTGTTTCTCTTTTTTATATTAGTCACCAATTAAAGGACGGGCACAGCCTTATGACCCCAATTTTTATGATGAAACTTATGACTATGGTGGATTTACAATGATGTTTGATGACAGAAGAGGACGTCCTGTGGGGTTTCCAATGCGGGGCAGAGGGGGATTTGATCGAATGCCTCCTGGCCGTGGTCGCCCCATGCCTCCACGAAGAGATTATGATGATATGAGCCCTCGCAGAGGACCGCCTCCACCTCCTCCAGGTCGTGGTGGCAGAGGTGGCAGCAGAGCTCGCAATCTTCCTCTTCCTCCCCCTCCTCCTCCTAGAGGCGGGTAAGTTTACTTTCTTAAAACTCATTAAGGATGATCTCTCGAGTATGTGTTTTTCAGCAGAACTAGGGATGGAGATAAAGAGATCACAAGTCAGTCAAAGTAGCAGTTTCTGCAAGTTTTAGTAAGAATGGACCAGGAATAAGTGCAACTTTGATGGCTGAATATTCTATTAAATTAATAGCAGATATGCCTCATATCACCAAATGAATTTACTATTTATTTGGAGGCCCTGTATTTTGAAACGTGAGATAGTGGAGAAAAGTAAAATTTCAATTCGATGAAGATAAATATTCTAAATTATTTATTTTATATTCCTAAGGGACCTTATGTCTTATGATCGAAGAGGCAGACCTGGGGATCGTTATGATGGAATGGTAAGTTTGGTTTAATAGAATTAATCTGACCATGTAAGCATGCTGTATCATTTTTCTAAAGACATATTAAAGATGATAGAATGTTCTTTTTTATTTCAAGCTAACTTTAAATTTAGCAAGATTTTCAAAATACAGATATTATGTTGATTATATGTATTTTTAAAATCAGTGTAATATTTGTGTAAGAAAGTAGTTATACCTTCTAGTTGAATAATTTTCAGCTAGTTTTAAACTTAAAAGATTTAACAAGTATGAGAAAATAGATCATAAATTCTCACTTATTAAAAAACAAATATAAAATTATATTTAGGTTATTTCAGTTCTATTGTTGGAATTTGAATGTTACTCCAAATGCAATTCCCTGTTTACAGAATTCTCCCAAATTTTCTTAAGAGAATGTAATGAGGAAGTTAAGATGTTGAAAAGATAGATGGATTGTTAGCAATTGCCCATTTTTAGAGCAACTAATTCTGTACTTTGGAATGATTATTGCAGAAAAAAAACATGTGTTAAGCAACAGTTTAAATGGCTAATGGTACAACTGTTTTATGCAAAGAAAGGCTTAAATCTGGGGTTTTCTTTGTGGTTTTTTGGGGGGGATGGAATGGTGAGGAAGAATCTAATTCTCCTTGTTCCAAATGCCACAAAGTCCCCCACTACTCCTGAAAAGGGGGAGGGGGGCATCCTGAGGAAAGAGAGGTAATAAATAGCCTTCTTTCCCCTTCTGTCAGTGAGGTTCCTTTTATTAAATCAGTGACTTTCAGAATCTCTTCTATTAGGGACCAACTTTTACTTTATGAAATTGAAAAGTAAATAAGAGAAAAAAAATTGGGGGGGGGAGAAAGCACACGTTTGGTTTAATTTATAAGTTAATGCAATTTAAATCATGTGTATGTATTATATGACTATATGCATGCATAACATAATTGCCTTGATGTTCGATGTTCAGGATTTTTTTTCCTTGAGTATGTAATAGTAATTTACCTGAGACATCTGAATATTGTGAGAATGTTTTGCCTTGTTAGTGCTGTTTACAGCAATACAATAGTATATGTGACTGAGCAGTTTGTTTAAAAAAAGTTATTGCTTTTCTTTGTTGCTTTTTATCATGATTCAAAGAGTGTTTTGTTATTGCTTTTTAAGTAAGACGAATTGTGATTAAGGGTTCATCAGTTCTGTATTTGTTTATAATGGAATAAGTCCCACTGATTTAGTAAAACTTGCTTCCAACTGTATGATTGTACTTAAAAATCTTAAATGTTTAATCTGTACAATGTACTTATTTGCATAAAGCAGAATATGCATGTTTCTGGAACTATTCTGTCTGCATAAAATTTCAGTAGAATTGTTCCACCAAGAAAATATATGGATGATTGAGGTGTTGAAATTAATACTTTGCTTTTTGAATGAACATGTTTTGAAATCATAAATTGGAAGTTAAACTAATTTAACTCCAAATAATGAAGTATATTGGTCCCTTTATCTCTAGCTAGGAGATGTATATTTCTATTCATTGTATAGCAAATTGTAACAGCATTTTGACCAGAAGTGCTTGATTCTGCATTATGGCAGTCAGTTAATACACATAGGAAGTAAATATTTTGGATCTAGAAATTCACCCAGTAGTCTTTCATTGGCATTAGAAGAAGGAATGAGGTGATTCCTCTTTGATTTCCTCTGCAGCCCTGAATTGCTATCGTCCTTCTAAGGCTGCAGATGACCCTCACTTGAGTGGGAAGCTCTATTGGATCCAAAATTCTTCACTGAAGATTCTTTGTATTTATTGTATAACTGGAGCAAGTCTGGATTAATGAACATTGTCATAGTGTATTTCAGTCTGTAACTCAGCAATAAATAACATTTTGTGTATGAGTATGCTTAAATTGCCAGTATTTCGAGAGTGTCTTTGTTTTTCTTACTCTCTTATACTCTCAAGTCCTATGATAACTCTATATTCATCTGACATGATTAATAGTAAAACTATAGCTTTCATACACTTGTAATGATACTATAATTTAGAACTTGGCTTACAATTTTGCTTGAAGATCCTCACTGATTTCCTCCCTCCCCCCTTTCTTTGTGCTGTGTTCTGCTTGGCAAGATGATGCAGTGTCATGTCAGTGCTTGTGATGACATAGAAACACCAGAAATGGTAGGTATATTTTCTGTCTCCCTTGTAGAGTTAGGTGATTTGCTACAGTTCGTGAAAGGGAAGAAAAATGTCTTTAAACATACTCTTGATACAAGAGAAGATTAATCAAGAGCTAATTTTACTAATAGCTTGCCCTAGAGAAAAGCTGATAAATTTCATTACATTTTAGTAATAAAGTAAAATCCAAAATAATTTTCTTTGAAAATAATTACCATTGAATTTGATGGGATATATTTCTAAATAGGCAAATGTGCTTTTTTTGATCATGGTTTGTAACATTTCTCCCTGCAATTTCAGTTTGAGATTATATCTGATATAAAGTCTAAATACTTTTTAATGCAAGGTTCTTATTAGATGTCAGCTTGGTTCTAAAAATACATGACATAAGATTCTTCCAACAATTGTCATTTTTATTTTGTGAAATACTTTTGTAACATTAATTATATAGCTTAAAATTGCTTATGTGAAAACTTAGATTTGTTTTTCTCCCTTTTTTGTTAGTTCGAGGGTGGATCAGGTTATGGTAAGCTTTCATGTATATGTATTGAACAAAATTTATAGTTTAGTCATTTAAAGGGCAAGATGCATACGTTTTAAATTAGACTATTCTTATGCAGGGGGTCGTGGTTCTTACGGAGATCTTGGTGGACCCATCATTACAACACAAGTAACAATACCCAAAGATGTAAGTATAACATTTACTTCCTTTTTACTTTTCTTAACAAAAAGCAATTTTCTAGGACAGTTGGTTATATTTACTCAAGTTCCAATACCAAATTTATATTTGACTCAGAATATGAAGAGAATAAGTGATAATATGTTTGGTTTTTCATTTTCATGTACCAGTCATAATTTATCTTGTTTTTTCATGCTAATTATGAATTAGAAGTTACTAGTTCACTAAAATATACTCTTATTTTCAGCTGGCTGGTTCCATTATTGGAAAAGGCGGTCAGAGGATTAAACAGATACGCCATGAGTCAGGAGCTTCAATCAAAATTGATGAACCCTTAGAGGGCTCAGAAGATCGAATAATAACTATTACAGGCACACAGGATCAGATTCAAAATGCACAGTATTTACTGCAAAACAGGCAAGTTGCCTTTAAGTTGCTATTTACTAACTTCTTGTAAATATATTGCTTGTATGTTTTTATAAAAAGAGCCTTTAGAGAGAAAAAAATCAGTCATACTAACTTCTCAATTTAGTAGTATGCCTTTCTCTTCTGTCTTCCATTCTGACTCATTGAAGAAGCACTCAAAACTAATCTTTCAGGAAGTGTCCTTAACCAAAGCAGCTCTCATTTCTTTGGTGAAAACTGCTGCAAAAAACCTACTTTAATCTTATATAGAGCCTGTAGAAAATATAGAAGATTTCAGTTGGATGTTGGTCTAGTTCTGTGTGGAAGACTAGTGATTTTGTTGTTTTTAGATTACTAAAGTGACAACAAATCGCAGTCTACCATATGGCACAGTCCATGCCTCTACAGGACAAGTTGAAAGCTTTTGTTGCAGTTAATGCAGCATTTCACACCGCTTCCTTTTCTGCCATGTATAACAGCTTTAGATTTTACATGTTTTGTTTTCTTTAACACCAACTATTTAGTGAGCATCTTGTAATGTATAACTTTAATTTTGGCTGTAGATTAGCTACTAATTATAATTTGATAAATGTTAAATATTATATAATTTTATATAATTTTATATTTGTAATGTATTTGTAAATATTGATTCAAATTGTTTGTTCAACCATTCTAATACATGCCTTTTTTTTCTTTTTCCTTATAGTGTGAAGCAGTATGCAGATGTTGAAGGATTCTAATGCAAGATATTTTTTCTTTTTTATAGTGTGAAGCAGTATTCTGGAAAGTTTTTCTAAGACTAGTGAAGAACTGAAGGAGTCCTGCATCTTTTTTTTTTCTTAAAATCTGCTTCTGTTTAAAAAGCCAACATTCCTCTGCTTCATAGGTGTTCTGCATTTGAAGTGTAGTGAAATTTTTGCTGTCACCAGATGTAATGTTTTATTTCTTTACATATAGGTGGGAGGGGCTGGGACAGCCTGCAAAACTAATATTGGTATTTTGAAACAGCAGCAGAGATAGTAGATTTTATTTTTATTTTTTCTATGTTGGTTGTAAACTGTAATGTTTTTTGTCACTTGTGAACCCATCTGCTTCATACTTTTTTTGTTTTTCAAATGGGGTAGTAAAGCTGATAGTCTACTTACCCCAACATCCATTCAATGCAGTGTGCGAAATGTAAGCGCTCTTTTGTAAAATGTTCTATGATTTTAAGAATAAATTTAGTGAAACAATTCTTGCAGTTCTTTCTTTATGAATATTTCCATAGTTAAAATACACTCTACAGTCTACATTTATTGTGCTTGGCTTTTTTTCACTTCTCTAGACCAGAGAAGCAGAGTACCAATTCAAATATTTTGGTAAATAGGAAGTATTGATTGCACTGATTTTAACTTTGGTATGTGTAAAGAAATTAACATACAAATGGTTTTCTTTCTGTTTCTCAAGTTGTATTTCCCTAATTGTTGTATTGCATTAAATTGGTTTGAATAAACTCTTACAAAACCTGTTTTGTCAATTAATAGCGAAAAATTATAGAAAAAAATTAAAAGCTTGATAACAGCCTTGGCAAATTTGCCCAAACTGTAATATGTTTAATATGTTTCCATTGTACAAAGATTTGAATGAAATAATTGTATCTTTCATATTGACTGGCATAGAAAATGCGTGCTAAATCAATCTGTTTTCATGTAAAATCCTGGACATTTGTACTGATAGTTTCCAAGGTTATTTCTTTTATTGAATAAAATTAAAATTGTAATAATACTGAGCTGGATGTGGATGTGACAGATCCTGTTTTTTAATACTATTTGTTGTGTTTTACTTCATGCTAAAGAAAACCATTCCCTTCCTGTTTGCAATTAGGTATATTTCAAAACCATGCAAAAACGTTCAACCTTTTATAAGCAAAATGGTCTAGATTATCTTGTCAAGTAAACCTTGTGGAATTCAATGGGATTTCCATGAATGAATATTTCCTAAAAGTAATTCGTTTGAATGAACAGTATTTCCAAGTGTACCCTGTGCAGAGAGAAAGTCCTAATATAAGGGATCCTGTAGGATGGTGTGGGATGATTTTTTCAAAAACTAATAGGAAACGTTAAAACCAGTGAGACCAACGTGTTGTAAAGAGGATTGAATTACAGACTATGGGTTGCTGAATTGAAGATTTTGAAGAGTCAATTTCAAAACTGCATGGTCTTGCTAGGAGTCAAGATTGATTCTCCCACATGTGCTCTGATTCTGCCTTAGCTACAAAAAAACGAGTGAAAGTGGGCCAGTTAACCACCTCTACACGGTAAGAAGGCCGCTTTTGAAAAGCTTTTAAAGTGCGTGGACCGAAAAGTAGCTGCCAGGAGTCAACACTGATAGTGCAAAAAAAGAAAAACAACTCACCAAGGAGTCAATCATTCCACAAAATACAGTAAAACATGGGTGTAGCTGCTCGCGAGATAAGGGCATGTTGCAGCTGGCGCCGATATCCGGTAACCTTATGAGTCCCGCACTAATTTATGCAAATATAGTCCATTCTGATTGGAGGGTGAAGCAAGGACGATTAGAGAAAGGTTGAAAGAAAGAAACGCTGTTTTGTACCGAAGGAGATCACTCGCGGGTTTACTGAGCAAAGCATAACCAAATCGAGTACGGTATCTTTTAAAGGTAAGATGGATTTGATCTCAGCGAAACGGCATTTTGCTAGAATGCACACTTCCGGGTGTTTTACGTAGGCCTAAGGTCCGCAGGCAGTCCTTGTTTGGCCATGTGAATAGAGAACGAGGGAAAGAAACACATTTTTGTTCTCTTCCTGCCTGTCATGAAAACCGTAGAAACAGCCAAGAATCAAATACCAATCTGAATGCGACTCGGCGCCTGCCAGTGTGGAAGTGTTCCTGGAAATCGGATCGGATTGGCAGACGAACGCTGCTCCTGTTGGTAATCCGCTTCTGGCCGCCCCGCTTTTGTGTGTTCGATGACTGGTACTGGCTAGATCAACATTTCAAAATTCTGATGTGGAGAAGAAGCGCAGCCCCAAAGTGGCCTCGCTGTTACTTTGTAGCAAGATTTCCTAAAGCGATCGGGGAAAGTGCGAATCGTGGCGGGTAGGGGGGACGGAAAATGGGTGGAACTTTTTTCACGCTTATTGTTTGAGTGAACCCTTGTTCGGTTGATTTGAGAAAAGGGACTCTGAAAGAAAGAAAAAAACAGAAATATGTCAGAAATATTGGAAGCACAAACTTCATTTCTCACCCATTTCTTGAATATTTAGTTGCTAATGTTCACATATACCCTTCTAATAACACCTGAAATTCTTGGCACTTTTGGAAAGAGTTCTGTTTGTAATGCCACAAATTTGCTATTTTCAAGGATGGTTTGATCATTTAAAAAAATTGCAAAGTGCTACATTTAAATAATAAATATGTATCCATCTGCATGGCTTTTGTGTAATTCTCCCATTCTCTTCAGTTTGGGCTAGGCTCAATAAGATGTTTTGTTATTTTAGTATATATGCAGTTAGCATATATAGGTAAAGGCTTTGCTTTAGCAGAGAATAACAAACATTATTGCTAAAATTGCTGCTGCTGCTGCTTTAAGAACAAAAGTTTTACATTTTTTAATGGTGAAAGGTACAGTGGTATACGAAGTTGATAACAAGCTCTGTTAAACTGATAGGATTTACTACTGCAAAACCTGTACAGGGATTGCTTACGATTTGGAAAGACCTGGGAAGATAAATTGATTGTCAACATAATAAATGTTATGTATCTTTCTTGAATTCTATCAACTCTGTATTTATAGGTCAAAGACTAACATTTATCACATTTGTTCAGAAACAAGGAAAATATGGAAGCATTTTTAAATCCTAAAGAATCGGCCAAGTTTATAGCAGAAAACAGCAGAGATGTGTACATTGAAGATAGTGGTGTGCAAAAGGTTGCAGAGATGTTGTTTGATAAAGTCACAGGGAAGGAATTCAGTGTCGCTGGCTGGAAGTCTTCACATGAATTAAACCCTCAAGAAGCAAGTGAAGATGCAGTAAACTGGGTATTTGTTGCTGATGTGCTCAATTTTTCCTTTTGGTCTGAACATGAAGACCACAAATGCTTGGTGAAATACAAAGGCAAGACTTACAGTGGCTATTGGTCTCTTTGTGCTGCCATCAACAGAGCACTTGATGAAGGTTAGTTATCTCACCACCCTCCAGACCTTCCGCATAGCCCTTAAAACCTGGCTGTCCCGACAGGCCTGGGGCTAAAGACCTTAACCCCACCCGAATTGTATGAATGTTGTGCTTTTAACAATGTATTGTCTTATGTGTTTAAATTGGTTTGTCCTCCCTNCCACCCTCCAGACCTTCCGCATAGCCCTTAAAACCTGGCTGTCCCTACAGGCCTGGGGCTAAAGACCTTAACCCCACCCGAATTGTATGAATGTTGTGCTTTTAACAATGTATTGTCTTATGTGCTTAAATTGGTTTGTCCTCCCCCCCTTTGAACTGTGAGCCGCCCTGAGTCCCCCCAGGGAAAAGGGCGGCATACAAATAAAATACCTATACCTATACCTATCTGAATTACATTGATTAGAGCTGAAGGGTGTGTTTGGACTTTACACTACAGATATATGAATAGCAGTAGAATAAACAAGACTCTTTCATGAAGTAGAATAAAGTTGACTAGAAATTACAGGTCGTCCTTGATTTATGGCCACAATGGAGCCCAGTGTTTCCATTGCTAAGCAAGACAAGTGGTTAACTGTGTTTTGTAACACTTTTCAATCTTTCTGCCACGGTTGTTTAATGAATAATTCTGTCATTCAGCAAATCTGACTTCCCCCATTGACTTTGTGGGAAGCTGGCTGGGAAAGTTACAAATACTGACCTCACCTGACCTCAGGACAATGCAACTGTTCTAAATACATGGCAATTACCAAGCCTCCAAATTTTGATCACATGACCATTGGAGATGCTGCAATGTTCCTAAGTATGAAAAACGGTCATGTCACCTTTTTCAGTGCTGTTGTAGCTTCGAATGGTCACTATCGTATATCGATGGTTATTTGTAAGTGATTATGAATGTAATTTTATATGGTGCCATCAAACTATCTTGTTGTAATACAGCATTGAATCACTTCAGTGGCTAAGCAACCTATTACACTGAACGAACAGCATAAAAATGTTTATTCTCATCCCAAAGTATCAAGACTCGAATTAAGTTTCCTTTTTTCCCCCTCTCCAGTATCTGCCCATCAGACCAGGAATTGGACAAATAAAATAAAGGCATTTGTTTTTCTTCCCAAAATCTGCCTATCAGACCAGGAATTAGACAAAATAAAATAAAGGCAATCCCATTGGAGGGATTTCCCCACTTTTAATTTTCTCTGCAAAAAGAAAGAATATGGAGAAACTTGGCTGCAATAACAGAAGGAGAGGATTAATTCTCAGATGCTTTCGCCCTACAAATCTGACTGCGACTAATCTGGATTAAGAGCTGGAGCTTGCTTTCAATAATAATAAAATAAAGATTAGGAAATTTCGCATGACATGCCTTATTATAAAGCATTAGGTGAAAAAGGATCAGAAAATGACTATAAAGAACAATCTATATGTTTCTTCCCTTGCCTCTGCTATGGATACTTGGCCCCCAAACAGATGCTGTCATGGTATTAGACAAGCCTTGAGTGCAGTCTAGTGGGAGGCAGCTGGCCCAGACTGGAAAGCTGCCTCTTCAAATTTCACTTTAATTTCTCTTGCAGTCTTCTCCCAATAAACAGGAAAGTATATCAACGCAATTAGGCCGTGATGAGTAAGATGCATGGCTTTGTGAAATTTACAAATACAGCATTAGCAGGAAAAGTCAACATCTTCCTCTTGTTTAGATTAAACATCTGGTATTCAGATGCATTAGATTTTCACAACTGAAATATTTTTTTAAAATAAAAAAGTAGATTGACATTGTATTGATTTATATCTGCCAACATATATATCAGATAGAAGAAGCATTAGAATCTAAAGTTTGGAAGAGGACACTAAGGAAAGAATTTAAAACTAATGTAATAAGTAATGTAATGTAATAAGACTGGAGAGATACAACCACCATTACTCATTTTGGAGACTTTAGGTTTTTTTATGTAAACAACCCTAAATAAATTATAAAACAATTTGTTTCGTAATTATGAAATGCTCACGAGGACTTACTCTGGCCATTTAAGTCACACTTTTCTGCTTATTGCCGCCCATGTAATTGAGTTCCATTTCAAATAAAGATATTTTAATTGCTTAAAATTGCAAGAACCACAGCTTTTTTTGCTTTTTATCCATTGGAGCATTCAGCATCACCTTGGTCAAAAAGTAGCTAAGCAGGATAAGGCTACTAGAGGTTGATCAATCATGGTAAATTTCTTCTATGCTGCTACGCAGAGAACATGCATGGACAGGTCTTTGAAGTCACCAGCAGTCAAATTCAACTCAGAGAACATTAAGGTATCCTCCCCTCTTTCTCGTGAATGATCATCTTCAACTACTGAGTTGTCTTCACTAATGTCAGTCAAAAGAAAAAAGTATTTTTAAAAATTATAAATATTTCCATTTTTAAAAAATAACCTCAATAGAAAAGTATATTAAATTGTAATTCCAATAGCAAGTCCAGTATATCATGTTTAGAGGTAAATTAACTGAGAAATAAATTCTTACGTTGATCCAATAATCAGTCTGAATAAATTCTGCTTACTTGCTTCCTAATTGGAACATTTTTAAAATTTATTCGTCTTGTATTTTACTAATTATCTCAAATGTAATTAAGAGGTATTCTTTTCTATTTGTTGCCCTTTCTGAAGGAACACCCATTACTAGTGCTTCTTATTTTGCCACTATGACCTTGGGTCAGTTGAAGCATGCATTTCGTTCTGATACAGAGGTGCCTATGCCTTTAATCGAGGAGAGACATCGTGTACTAAATGAAGCTGGAACAATTCTGCTGGAGAAATTTGGGGGCTCCTACCTCACATGTGTTAAAGAAAGTGGGAAAAGTGCCCAAAAATTATTACAGACAATAGTGGAAAATTTCCCATCTTTTAGAGATGAAGCTACATTTCAGGTAAATCTCTTATAGTCTGCATTTTCAACTAGCCTCTTGGTTTCATTTTTTTTAATGATAAAAATGGACAAGGAATTGCTACATACCATAGTGTCTCATTTTGTGCTGTGGCAGGCTGGAAAATATCACAGCACACATCTCCTGTAATCTTATTATCTAACATAGATAGTGAGGCCATTAATCGTATGACCAATATTCCCAAACTGCTACAGAATCGAAACCACACCTATTTGTGTTAAGAATTATTCCAGTGTGTATAAATAAAAAATATCACCATTTACCAAGATATATGATGACAATGGCAAGAATCCAGTGGGCACAATTTTAGAAAAGATAACCTTTGCTGATGATATAAGATTGAGAGCAATAGAGAAATAGGCTATATCCAATATTCAGAACAAAAGTCTAACCAAATTAAGGCAGAAATGGTTCCCTTAAATAAAACATATTTGTTAGCAAGACAAGATATGGCTTTCAGACAAAAGAGATTGATTAAAACAACTGGGAAAAATGACTCAAGCACATAATATATCAGCAATAACTCTAAAAGCTTAAGGCAGGTTATAATTACCGTAAGCACTGTAACAGGTAATAGTTTGGGAAAAATGAAAGAGGGGAGGCATTACTGAATACTTTTTACAGTGTTTTGCTCTTACATCATATTTTATTGCATCTCTGTTTTTGATTTTTTGCAATGCTTAGGCAATAATGAAACTAATGCAAAAATAGTGTAGAGTACATAGTGTTCTCTCCTCTAACAGAGCAAGAACCTTATGGAGTAGATTTGTGTTAAGATAAAGGGACTGCCTAAGAATCCTCCAGGAGATTTTGTTTCATGTTGGTGGGTTTGACCCTGTATGTTCCCACTCATAAATCTGGTACTTTAACCTCCTCCTGTATAAGCTGTCATATTTCATATAATTCCCATATTTAGCTTCTTTTGAAATGAAAGGTGGTAAGAAAAACATATTGAAATAACAATTGAAATCTGTAAATGTGACTATAATCATTCTAATTACTTTGTTGTTGTTTTTTCTCCTTTTCCTACCAGGGTAAAAAGGTAGCTTTTTACAAACGGGCGCAGATCCTTGTGGCTGACACCTGGAGCGTGTTGGAGGGGAAAGGAGATGGCTGCTTCAGTGATATTTCCAAAATCTCTATATTTGCTGATTACAGGATACCACAAGTTCTTGTTCATTTAGAAGCAATGAGATATTCAGAAGAATTAATGAACAAACTTAAGAAAGGTATTAAAATATTCATGATCATGAAGAATTTCTATTTCATCTGACATGTTTTATCAGTAGTCTTTTGAGCAGAGGTGGTATTCAGCAGGTTCTGACCATTGCTGGAGAACCGGTAGCGGAAATTTGAGTAGTTCGGAGAACAGGTAAATATCACCTCTTACTGGCCCTGCCCCCATCTATTCTATACCTCCTGAGTCCCAGGTGATCCGGAGGAAATGAGGATTTTGCAGTAACCTTCCTCACTCCAGGGGAATGGAGATTTTATAGTATCCTTCCCCTACCACGCCCACCAAGCCATGCCCACAGAACCGGTAGTAAAAAATAAACAGAAAACAGAAATAAACATAAGAGAAATTGAGAGTTATGTATTCCCAGAGTTATCTACAATTGCCTTCATTCGTGACAGTCTACATTCCTACAAAGAAACCTTGGAGTAAGCCCCAATTACTAACTTTTGTGTATAAATGTGAAAGACAGTGTTAACAGAGTACCTTACTTTTTCATTTTTTATTATGCAGAAAGAAAGAAAAATAAAAGGAAGGGAAAAGTAAAATTCTTTTACAAATGTTCTGTTCTGGTATTTCAAATATAGAATGTCATTTCTTGTCTAGGAAAGAAGACATTTCATTTTAAAATTATTTCTAGGTGATGAACATAAGGAATTTGATTGCTAAAGCATCTATACCCAGGTTTTTTTCCCTGGTACATCAGTCCACATGTACTTGTGATTTCCAAATCTTATGTTCCTTCCATCCATCTATGTCCCTTTCTATCAGTATTGAGGAATCAAAAGTAAAGTTGGTAATTGTCACCATGTAAATTAAACCTTTTGTACAAGTGTCAATGTCACTTGCATATACAAAGAGGGAGGTCTTTATTCAGGAGATTGCAACTACCATCTTAACCAACTGGGTTAAATTAATATCTAGATTGCAAACCATTTTTATTGTATCTTGTTGGCTGTTGACATGGTGAACCACTTAGGGTTGCTATGGTTTCAAAATAGTGTTTAAATGTAATTAAATAAAATTAAAAATCTAGAGGGGCTATTTCAAAATGCCAGAGCCATAACAGAAAGCAGTGCCTGGCTTCTCCTCTCCTTATGTCATATAAGCAGGGAAAAACTAACAACGTCTTCCAGAATATGTGTATTAACAAGGGAGACCAAATTTAATATGATTCTGAAGACACATAGCTGGCAAGCTATGCAAGCTTTTAAAATAGTGGACAAGATTTCATCAATCCATTTGAAAAATGAACTTTTGTAAGGGTTGAGGATTTGCATTCAAGAGTGTAAATACTCGATTGCCCACTCAATTGCCCATGTTGCAAGTTCATGATTGGGATTTTTTTTTTTTTACCAAGAAGTTTAATAACTGCAGATAGTTGTATGTTTAACTTTATCAGGGAGACATGTCGGCCTATTTACAATTCTCTGTTTAACTGTTGCTAAATAGTTTATATTGACACTGAAGTCATACTTATTTGTCTACTCTAAAATAAATTCTAATAAAATTCAACAACTTTCACTTTCTATTACTGTTATATCAGAAGCACTAGGAATCTCTCATTTATGGATTTAATCTTGTATGTGGAAATTAATTATTAGACCACTTTTCTTGATTTCTACTACATTTCTTAAACTTCCTGCATCTTTGTTCTTCTTGCCATTCAAAAATCTATGGCTATTATCCAATCAGTGTATACTGAGCTGAGAGGAGCCATTTTCTTTCTGAGATTCCAGTAATTTGTTAGATGCTTCCTTCTGCAAAAAGATTGCCTTTTTCTGTGGAGTACAATGCAGGAAACAATACCTCTAATGTGAAGCCCTTCTCATGATATGCTATAGGCAGCCCCTTGAGTAACAGCCTACTCAAACAGAACTATCAAAGATCCTTCTGAAAGGCACATTTGCCCCTAGTTAGGAAAAGTATTAGGAATGTTATGAAGGGCAAAGAAAATATGGGGGAATAAGACATAAATAAGCAATTCAAAACTACTGCAACCCTTTTCGATTTAGTAGTATGGTAATTACTTGGTAGATTAAGATACTGAAAATATGTAACTTGAATGAGCCTGGTTAATGTAAAAAAAAAAAGGTTAGGCATATACATTGATTAAAATATTTCCTCTTTTATTCCCATTTTCTTTATTCATGTGACTTTCTTTGACCCTTCCCTACCTTGCAGGGCATATGTTCCAGTTTGGAGACAGTCAGGAAGTGGAGATTCGAGGTTGTAGCATTTGGTGTTGTGAGCTCATTTGCAGCAGTTTGCTTGAACTTTATAAAAAGAAAGGTGACAACATGAGTGAAAAGATCAATGCAGTTCTCCTTGATTATTATCTATGGGACTATGCTCGGGATCATCGAGAAGATATGAAAGGAGTACCTTTTCACTGTGTACGTTCCATATACTATTAATACCATTTATAAATGATAATGATATAAAGCATCAAAAGCATCAAAATCTCTATATATAATTTTGATTTTTTTTTTTTTTTAAATGGATCTTTAATCTCCATTTTATGGAGATTAAAGAAGAAAGGCGTTTTCTTGCATATTGACATTCCAATTCTATAAGCAATATATTTCTTTAATGGGTTTGATTAAAATGTATGAAACTTTAAAAAAAATCTGGATTATATATAAAATCGAAAGATACCTTACAAATTAATATTATTGTAATCAAATTACCTACTTGTGTGAATATATCTAAACATGCATTTCAGTAAGGACCATTTAAGTTTACATTTGATGGTACCTTCTGAAGTTGTGTGCTGCTCATCAGGAATAATTTTGTTCAAAACATTGTAATGTCATTTAGCAACACTGATTCAAAGTTTATACACAATACTTTTTTAAAAAAATTCTGAAATTACAACTAAAGAATAAAATCAATAACAAAAACAATCAGTAATATTTCAATTATTAAAAGTATTTTTAAAATGCGAAGGCCAAGTTAACAAAAAGATTATTAACTGATTCTTTAAAGGAAAAAACAACTTGCTCCTAGTTTATTAAAATATAACATCTACCCTGTTTTCCCCAAAATAAGACCTTCTCAGATAATAAGCCCAATCGGGCTTTTGAGCACATGTGCTGAAATAAGCCCTTCCCCAAAATATTGCAACACAGCAGCAGCCATGAGGTGACCACGCTTGCCATCTCCTCACCTCAAAAATAATACCTCCCTGAAAATAAGGCCAAGTGCTTATTTTGGGGGTCAAAAGAAAATAAGATCCTGTCTTATTTTCGGGAAAACAAAGTAGTTGACTTGGTTGATACAAAAGACTAAGCAGTAATTGGATGAGAGACTACTAGAATATTTTTGGATTGTAAGATAAAATGGGAAATATATACAGGGTCTTGCACAATCGCCTGGAGTTGCATGTAATGAGTCTTATCTCATATATTAGTTTCACCTTTTAAGTTGCATTACTGAAATAAATGAACTTTTGCATGATATTCTAATTTTTGAGTTTCACCTGTATTTATGATGGTTGCAGCGTCAAGGCCCAACAGACTCTCCACTTCCTCAGGGTCTTGCAAAAAAAAGAAAGTGGAACAACAACTGATGATCTCCTTTTACCAGTCCACAATAGAAAGTGTCCTCACTCATTGCATTACGGTGTGGTATGCCGGCTCGACAGCCACGGATAGAAAGACATTACAGAGGGTGGTGAGCACAGCACAAAACATTGTGTGCTGTCCCTTGATACAAGATGACATCGCTAGGGCTCGCTGCCTTAGAAGAGTAAGGAAAATTCTCAGGGACAACTCACACTCTGGTCAGCACTTCTTCATTCTCCTGCCATCGGAAAGGAGATATAGAAGCATAAGCAGCCAAACAAAGGTTAAAGTACAGTTTTTTATCTGTGGGCTGTCAGACTTCTGAATGGAAAATAAGTTTACAACAACATAGTACAATTGACTTGCGGGGCTGGCGCAACATGTAATAAGAGCCGAGGTGGCGCAGTGGTTAGGGTGCAGTACTGCAGGCCACTTCAGCTGACTGTTATCTGCAGTTCAGCGGTTCTAATCTCACCGGCTCAAGGTTGACTCAGCCTTCCATCCTTCTGAGGTGGGTGAAATGAGGACCCAGACTGTGGGGGCGATATGCTGACTCTGTAAACCGCTTAGAGAGGGCTGAAAGCCCTATGAAGCAGTATATAAGTCTAACTGCTATTGCTATTGCTAAGTTCACATGGTGCAATAGAATTGTGTGTTTGTTAGAAGGATACACTGGGTTATGGATTTTCTGTCTTTCACTGTGAGTTATATTGGGTTGGGGAGTGCACAAAGGGAGGCTCAGACAATCTCATTGCACACACATATTGAATTCTGACAATAAAGGTAAACTTTTGTGACCTTCTGATAAGCAAAGTCAATGGGGGAAGCCAGATTCACTTAACAGCCGTGTTACTAACTTAACAGCTGCAGTGATTTATTTAATAACTGTGGCAAGAAAGTCTTAAAATGGGGCAAAACTCAACTCTCTCACTTTTGGGCTCAATTGTGGTCATAAATCAAGGACCAGCAGTAAAATCATGGATTCTTCCAGCTGATACAGTATCATGTAAAGAAGATAAACCGTTCCTGAAGTTTGACTTTAGGGGGGATTTGTCCAAACAGCTTTCAATTGGGGAGAGGGGTGAGATGCCTGCACCCCCTGCATCAACAAGGAGAGTTGGGAATGATAACATCTGAGGATATCATGTGGAGGAGTTAGATATTTCATTGCCATCTAGGATTCCCCCCCAACACACACACACACACCACTATGCTTGTAATCAAGTAGCAATGGAATCAAGTGAAGCACTTCAGTGTAAATTAAGTTCATTTTCGTGGTCCCTTTGCTTAAGACAGGGGTGTCCAACCTTGGCAACTATAAGACCTGTGGATTTCAAATCCAGCATGGGAATTCTGGGAGTTGAAGTCGACGAGTCTTAAAAGTTGCCAAGGCTAGACAACCCTGCCTTAAAAGCAAAAAAAGAAACAGGCGCATTACTCTCGCCCTCAGCTTTCGGGAACGCTTGCCAGACCGGGCGGATGGAAACGCCGGCATCAATGCGGCTGCGCCGATAGAGCGCGCTACGCTCGGCGACCTATCAGAGGAGGCGAGGGCGGCGCCGGCTGTCTCAGGAAAGACGCTGGTTCTGTCAGCGGCGGGAGAGTTTCGTAGTTGCCTAGTGAACCAATGTAAACAAAAGTCGGAAGCAGGGGGTGTGGGTTCCATATTTGTGCTACCGTTGTTGTTGGGGGGCAGCCTTGAAGTGGGAGTCTTAAGGGTCCGCCGCAAGCTCGGCAAGGCAGGTGCTGCCTGACAAGCTGGTCCCGCCGCGAGCGAGTCCGTTTGGATCTTCACCCGGAGGCTTAACGCGAATAGCACAAACTAGGCGGACGCGCTCGGGAGGGAGGGAGCGACGGGGTGAGTTTGAACGTGTTGGAGAGATCGGGGGGGGGGGGGGGGATGGGGGTGAAGTTGAGTGAAAAAAACCAACGGTTTAAAAAATCCTCTCATGTAGTAGCACACGCCTGTTATCATTTGTAGTGCATACTTGTATATAGCGGTTTTTAATGGTAAAAGTTTAAGAAAAAGGTACGCCTGCACAAAAGGAAAAAAAAAACAGTACAAAATTGCATCACAGAAGGAGTTTCCACTGTTTTAGTGATGAGTTTTTAAGTAACAAAATACCTAGCTTTGAAAAGTCAGATTTTCACTTAAAATCTGAATACGTGAAATAGCAACTGAAAGCAGCACAGTGTAAATCATAAATTGAGATTAAGAGTTATGGTCATCTATATCTCACCTATGTTAAGAGTAACCCTCATTCCAGATGGGGCCCATTGAGTTTTAAGCTATTTTGGACATCCAGGGTACTGCCACAGTTTAATTAATCATTCTTCTTGAACAAACAACATATTATCCTTTCAGCAGTTACTATATACAAAGCTAATTCAGTAGTAAGCTTTGGTTGAGAAACAAAATGTTTCTCGATTTGGCATTTTTTTATTTCAAGGAAAGTAATCTCTCAAATATTTTTTTGCTTTCTATAGAATATCTTTCCTTGTCAAATGTAGAAGACGGAGAATAATATGAAGAAAGAATTAAAGAAAAGTTGTGAATATTAAGATTAACAAATGCACATGCTCATATAAGCTGCAATGGAAGAAATTCCTGTAAAAGTGGCAGTACGAATAAGACCTTTACTCTCAAAAGAAATACTTCACAATCATCAAGTATGTGTGAGATTAATCTCAAATACTCAGCAAATTATCATCGGAAAAGACCGTGTCTTCACTTTTGACTTTGTTTTTGGCAAGCATTCAACCCAAGATGAAGTCTATACAACATGTATTAAGCCATTGGTAGCATCTTTGATAGAAGGTTATAATGCTACAGTTTTTGCCTATGGACAGACAGGCTCTGGAAAGACTTATACTATTGGAGGAGGTCACATTGGTATGTTCTGAAAAAGTTTGTTATTTAACTATATGATCAAAAAATGCACTGTAAAAGGAATAATAAGAGCAATCTTTTCACAAACTGAATATTTATTGATAATTGATGTTCCTAGCTCTTCATTTTAGAACAGGTTGGGACTAAAGGTTGGGTAATTCTAAATTTAAAATTATACTGGTGACATTTTCCTTGTGAATAAAACTTTACACATGATCAGAACATTAATCAGCATCACACTGGAATTATGAAGTACTTCTACCGCTCATTGTCAGGAACTGAAGAAGGGGAGAATCCTTCCAAATGAGAGCTATCCTCTCCTTCAATCCACCATACCAAAAATAAGCCATAATTAGTCGGTTTTTCCCTGTATTTTAATGTCTGATGGTATGACTGACTGATTTATATGACCCTGACAATTGAATGTGAAAATACACACACACACACACACACACACACACACACACACACACACATACATATCTATTTTAGAGTTACAACCCCCGGTATGCCCAAATATTTATCAGCACAAATACAACATACATACATACATACATACATACATACATACATACATACATATATATATATATACACATATATATATACATATACATATGTATGTGTGTGTATATATATATATATATATATATATATATATACACACACACACACACACACACATACATACATACATACATACATACATATATATATATATACATACACATACATACAGCATATTGAGCTAAAAGTCATCCAGATTCCTTTTACTTCATTTTCAGTGTTGCTATGATATTTCTGAGTCTGCATCTTTCAGCTCCATGTTTGGATTAAAATTATTTTCTCATTTTAGCATCAGTTGCAGAAGAAGAGAGGGGTATTATTCCACGGGCAATTCAAGAAATATTTCAGATTATTTCTGAAAACCATAATACTGATTTTGCAGTTAAAGTTTCGTACATAGAAGTCTATAAAGAAGAACTCCGAGATCTCTTGGAACTAGAGACATCTATGAAAGATTTGCATATTAGAGAAGATGAAAAGGGCAATACAGGTAGAAATATAAATTTCAACTAAGTTTTTATTTACTAATAATTTTGAAACATTTTTATAATGTATGCTCATATTTTCTATAGATGTACTGTACCTCTAAAATAATGTTAAGTTCATTTTATTAAAGTTGAATTATTCAGAGGAAATTAACTTTAATTTTTATGCAAAGTAATTTGTACTTTAAATGTAATGCTTTAATTGCCTGTGTTTAATAATCACTGTCACTCATAACTAAAATAGCATCTTTCAACAAAGTTAATCTTTTCCCATTATTCTGCTTTAAAAAGATATCAAAAATCAGGAAAGTCCTTTAGATAAGTGTTACTGTTTAGCTGAATATTTCTAGAATACCCATGTTTTCCCGAAAACAAGACAGGTCTTATTTTCTTTTGACCCCCGAAATAAGCACTTGGCCTTATTTTTGGGGAAGTCTTATTATTTTTGAGGTGCAGGAGGTGGCGAGCATGGTCACCTCATGGCTGCTGCTGTGTTGCAATATTTTCAGGGATGGCTTTTTGGGGGGTAGGGCTTATTTTAGCGCATGTGCTCAAAAGCCCAATTGGGCTTATTATCCAGGGAGGGCTTATTTTCAGGGAAACATGGCAACAACGCATACATGTCTATGCAGATTTTCAGTCATCCAGGTCATGGTTATCCCAAAGGTGCTTTTTCAAGAGGCAACGGGATGTTCTGGTTTTTCTTTGAAGACATTTTGCATCTTATCCAAGAAGCTTCTTGAGCTCTGACTGGACGGGGGGGAATGGAATGATTTATACTTCTTGCAGACAGCTGGTCATTTGCATTTTTTAATGGGTTGTTAAGATTATCTGGATATTTATCTGTGTCATCAGGGTCATCTGAGTGGTGCAAATTGGTTGGAGCCTTCTTAGAACTGTTGAATGCCTTCCAAGAAGGTTCCACACCAAATTACACCACTTAGGTGACCCTAATGACACAGATAAACCTCCAGGTGACCTTAACAACCCACTAAAAGAATGCAAATGACCAGCTGTCTGCAAGGAATATAAATCTCTCCATTCCTCACCATCCAGTCAGAGCTCAAGAAGCTTCTTGGATGAGAACCGAAACGTCTTCAAAGAAAAAAACAAAATCCAGTTGCCTCTTGAAAAAAGCACCTTTGGGACAACAATGCATATCTTTTCTTCAAATGTCCATTGTTATGCTATGGATATTTTTTTCTCCATTTAAAGCTTTTTTCCATTTGTTATTTCACTTAGAGGCACAGTGGATCATCATAAAATATTAAATTTTCATACAGCTACATACATATACCAGCACATCCAAGAATTTCCCCTACTTTACTTTCGGTTGACTCTGCAACCAATGCAGAGTATGTAAGAGGCAAAGCATCTTTGTGGTATCACAACATACATTTTGATGAAAGCTTCATTTGCTGCTTATTTTATAATATTTTATTTTATATGAATTATTTCTTGCTTGAAAAATAACTGGATTGCCTATATATTTGTTAAAAACTTAATCTAATTTTTCTGAAAATGTTATATTTATAACCTTTATTGTTTTAGTAATCGTTGGTGCCAAAGATTGCCAAGTAGAAAGTACAGAAGAAGTGATGAGCCTATTGGAAACAGGGAATGCTGCTAGACATACAGGGACAACCCAAATGAATGAGCATTCCAGCCGATCCCATGCTGTTTTTACCATCAGTGTCTGTCAACAACAGCAGCCTTTGCAGAAGGACAAAGAGGGTGCACAAAATTCACCCAAAAATTCAGGACAGCAGATCGCTTCTAAATTCCACTTTGTAGATCTTGCCGGATCAGAAAGAGTTACAAAAACTGGCAATACTGGTGAAAGATTCAAAGAATCTATTCAGATCAACAGTGGTTTATTAGCTTTGGGAAATGTGATAAGTGCACTTGGAGACCCAAAAAGAAAAAATATACACATTCCATATAGGGATGCTAAAATCACACGTATCCTTAAAGACTCTTTAGGAGGCAATGCAAAGACTGTCATGATAACATGTATTAGTCCATCTTCTTCTGATTTTGATGAATCATTAAATTCCATCAAGTATGCTAACAGAGCAAAAAATATTAGGAACAAACCTATTGTCAACTATAACCCAGACTGGGATCGTATAGATGAAATGGAGCTTGCCATTAAGTTGCTTCGGGAAGCCTTGCAAAACCAACAAACTAATGGACAGTCTTCTGGTAGCCAAGGATCACAGGATTTATGCCAAGACAAAAACAGAATTCGTTGTCTTGAACAGCAGCTTGCTCAGTTTCAAATTGAAAGTTTTAATTTGAGAAATTGCATTGAAGAAGCTTATTTATTTCTTGTTGATTTAAAAAACATTGCCAACCTATCAAAAAATCAACTTGAAAAACTGCAAGAATGGATCCATGTAGCTCAGGAACTTAGGAGAGAGGCATCTATTCCCCAGGTAAACACTGGAACAGTAGCCGACCAAGAAGGACCATATCATATTACGATTCTTCAGCTTAAAAGAGAGCTGAAGAAATATCAGGTACTTACTGTAAATTTAATATAAGGGTATTATAAATTATAAATATAATTATAAATATAAGGGTATTATAAGTTATAAATAAGGGTATTATAAATTAAGATAAATTTAATAAAAGATTGCATACAGAAGCGTTGTCTGCACATTAAGGCAAAGTTTTGTTCAAATGAATTTACCTTCGCTCCCATTCCAGCATATCAGCTTGATCAGTGCTATGGGATAATTTGAGAGGCATGTTAAAAAAACAAGCAGGAGAACAATACCTCAATTTAGTACAATTTAATATTAGAGATGGGTTCTTTATTTGGAAATGGTTCAATATGCAATCATTAATACAGCGTAAGAAATCTTCCCTCAGGAAATTATGGATTTTTTTCAAAGGTCAGAGTTTTGGCAAGTCATCCTTAGCTTAAGAAGTCTTTCAGCTTATCTTTTGGAACTTGTCTAGCTACTTTTTCTAACATAGATCTTTTATAATTTTTTATTATTTTTAAAGCTAATAAACAGTGAAGCATTCTTTTAAAACTTTGGTGGTTCTATTATCTATCTCTTGGCTAATATTTCATTTTCATTTCAGTATGAACTGTTTATATACAGTTCCTTAGTTTGCAAATCTTTTTGTCTCTTTCTCCCTGATCTAAAATGCTTACATTACAAGAATGTAGCTGTTAACAGAAATGATCACTGGATATTGTCATTATAAAACTAATGAAAATCAATAATAGCACCAAGAATTACAAGTTATTCATCAGTCTTCCCCAACACACCTGGGAAACACCAGACCGGGGAGGCTGCAATATAGTATATAAAAATTACAAATCACATTATTTCTGGAAAATGTTATAACATTAATTCTGTTAGGGATCTTTTACAAATTATATGCATATTGGCTGAATCATAAAGATGGTAAATCCAACATCCAGGGGCCTGATTTTTTTTTCCATATGTGAACTGTAAACAAATAATTTTCTTTGGTTATTAAACATAGCTCTTATATTTCCATTACCTGCCTATGAGAGCTAGTTTAATGGAAGTAATGTTCTGCGCTTTATTTAAATTATTGAGTAGGCCTAGTGGGACGTAAGCTTGAAATAGTTATGAATGAATCTTAAATTAGCAGAAGAAAATGTTATACAATAGGCTTTTTCCCTTAGATTTCTGAAATATGCATAATCAGGGGAAACCACTGAACACTGTGAATTTTGTTTTAAAAGTTTCTTGCAAAAGTAAGGAATTTCATCAAATCTAGAATGTTGTATTTCTTATGCAAAGCTCTAGATTTTACAAGTTCAGTACGTTTGCCTTCCATTTTCATCAAACCAAATTTAATATACCCTTATATGAAATTGTTACCTGCAGACATGTAATCTATACTTATAGATAACAGGAAATGTATATCTTGATCACTAGAAATTGCTTCTAATAAGTAAAATGTGTTAAAGCTGCTTTGTCTTTTTTTCCTTTTTAGTACAAATTTGAATATGACAAAACTGCATGTGTAGCTTTTATTTATTTATAAAATTTATATTGCCGCCTACTTGCACATGGCAACTCAAGGCAGTTTAAAAGGACATAAAAACACCATATAAAAGAAATAAAAAGAATAAAAAAAAAATAACTCCCCACCCCAGTGACAACATGTATTCATGCTACCCATTTAATGGGCTCCATCCCCTGGCCCACTGGCAGGACCACGTCTTCAGGGCCTTCCAAAAGAGTGTTAAAGTGGGGGCCAGTCTAATGTCTGGGGGGGGGGATGATGTTCCAGGGAGAAGGCTGTTCTTCTGGGTCTCGGCACATGTATCTCCTTAGGGGCTGGTACTTGCAGTATTCCTTACCTCCCTGCTCTAGTGGGTAAGTGTAACTGGCAAGAGACAGTCCCTCAGATAACTTGTTTAAAGCAATGAAGGGCTTTAAAGGTGACAACTAGCACCTTGAATTGCACCCAGAAGCAATTTGCAACCAGTGCAGTTCCCGCAGGAGAGGTGATACATGTGCACACCGAGGTCTGCACAAAACCATGTGGGCTGCTGCATTTTGCACCAACTGGATCTTCCAGATGCATTTCAGGGGCTGCCCCATGTAGAGCACGTTGCAATAGTCAAGACGGAAGGTGATTAAAGCATGAGTGACTGTGAATAAGAATTGTTCATCCAGGATAGGGCATAACTGGTACACAATCGGCAGTTGTGCAAAGGCCCTCCTGGCCACCTACTCTTCAAGCAGGATTCATGAGTCCAGGAGAAACACCCACACCCGATTACGCACAGGGTCTGTTTGGGGCAGTGCCACCCCATCCAAGACTATCTTTAGAATGGGATGTGTAATAACCAGATAGCTGGTGAATCAGATTCTAGTTTGCACAGAACAACATGAACATACTTGGGTTTTACTGGTTGTACTTGTGGCTTGCTGGCCAAAATATGCTAAGGCTGATTGGTACTGTCGTTATCATTAGCATATAATGCTACATCTAGCAAGAGTATGACTAAAGATGGTAATACTGGCATGGCGAGCTCTCAGACATACACTATATTGCCAAAAGTATTTGCTCACAACTGAGTCTGATTATGTGGATGGGTGAACGAATACTTTTGGCAATATAGTGTATATTTCATCAGGAACCCATACATTCAACCAAAACTCTAGTGATGTTAATAAAGATAATGGATTCCCTGGAATGGTAGGGTTTAAATATTCATATGTTACATTCTACATTTTATCTGGCTCCTGGGAACTCTGTAACAGTGTAACAATCTTACTTTAATGTGATTCGCAACCTGCCTGATTACCTGTCTTTTTCAGAGTTAAAAACAGCCTGAAAACCAACCCCCCATTTTCTGGTTGAAACATCTGTTTCCTACCTGACATGTACAGTTAATTCTAGGCTTGTATCCATTTGTTTAGTGATCACTTAGTTATGGTCATCATGAAAAAATAGATGTCCTCCAGGTTTGTGTCCTCTTAACAGTCATAGAAATCCCAGTTCGTGGGTACATAACTTGCAGTTACTCACAATGAGCTGCAGTTATATGTTCACCATTTTTGACCTTCCCTGCTGGCTTCACAAGCCTAGTCAATGGGGAGGTTGGCAGAGAAGGTCTCAAGTCGATCTTTCTTTTGTCCAATCAGCATTCATTCCTGCTTGTATGTGACCTGCACCAGACCATCCTAATCTTAGCCCAGCTCGCATACAGCCTACACCAGCCCTTCTCTTGTTTCTCCTATGGCATCCCCAAACTCTTTATTTGAGACACCCCACCCCCCTGCATCTTGGAGTTAATGACAACAAACAGGAATGCAGTTATATTTGTCACAATAACTCTATTGATATAACTAGATTTAATAAATTAGATTTAGTTGTAGTATGTCTTACTAGCCAAGTGGATTGTAATTATGGAAAGTAATTAAATTCGTTAAAAAGTTAATTGTTCCTTAGGTTATTTATTTACTTTTTTCCATTTTTCCTTCTATTTGCCAGTTTCCAGATGGCAGATGTATTGTTCAGTACCAAGCACTGTAGTGACACAAGAAAATAGATTTTAATTCTCCTCATTTCTGCTGCTACAAGGAAATATGTTTAGGAAGATTATTATAGAATGATGAAAAAGAACATTTCCTTTAGTAACTCTCTGAACAACTGTTATTAATACTATACCATTCACAATTGGAATTCAATTTCCTTTCCAGTCATGGTAATTCTCTTTTTAGCTATCCCATCTCAAATCGTACATGAAATATAAGACATGTTTTTTAAAGTATTATTATTTGCAGGAATTGAGGAAACAACAGGGTGCTATTAATACACATCATTTTCCCTATAAGATCAAAATGTGGCAAAGGCTTTTTTACTAAGTACTTTGTTGGTTTAAATTAAAGGCACTTGATTGTTTGAGACAATATGTATTCATAATTTTTGCATACTATACTTGGGTTATATACAATAATATATATATAGTTAATGCAATACAGTACTTACAGCATAACTGCTATATTTGCAGCAAATATCACAATGCATTTCTATTTGTGGACTTCCATTTCATATGTTCAGTCATTCTCTCTTTATTACCTAGCAGTCTCTTGCAACAGATGCTGAAGTCTTCAGTGAAAAAGAACTGGAAATAAAAATATTGCAAGATCAGATACAAAAGCTGATACAAGAAAATCATGAATATCTGGAATCACTAAAGGAGGCACATGATACAAATAGGTTACAGGTAATTTAAGTTTTCTGCAAGTTATTTAGGCTATATATATATATATATATATATATATATATATATATATACACACACACACACACACACACACACACACACACACACACACACACAATTATATCAATCATAGATAACAATAATAATAATAACCAAAATATTACAACCATAAATAGTTTGAAAAGATTATAATTAGGGTTATCAAGATTTATTCCCATGTAAGTCCATATAAGAATGCAATTTTAAATTTAAGTTGAATCCAAATTTCAGTGGCTTTAATTTCTGAAATTCTGTAGTTTAATAAATGCAATTTTTTTTTCATTTCAAGAATGAAAAAATGGTAGAGCAGCGACTTATAATTAACCAGCTAAATGACAAATTGGAGAAAATGGCAAAAGCATCTGCCTCTGATGGTGCTTCTGGAGATGGACCAGCTGCGGTAATATCAGCTAAAAGGCCCTATAGTGTTCCATTAACTAAAAGTTTGATGCAGATGAATAACATACCATTAAGATTGGATTCTCGAAAGGTATATATGGAAAAAAAAATTATATAATTAACTTTATTATTTTCAAATTATTAATCAAAGTTGAAGGGAACTATGGTAACATGAACATCTGTAGGTTGATCAATTGAGGAAAGAAACTGTAATGAATAATTTCTCCCATCCCATTTAAAGATGGTAAATATAATGCATTTATTTCCTCCATTTCTTCCATTTCTATCTGGTGGTTTTGATATTCCCCATTTTCCACTAGAGCTGGGTTCTTTGTTCTGTTCTGTTCCAATATTTTAAAAGGTTGCCCATTCCTGATATGCCTGCATTGGACAGCTGTGGAACATAGCAGAGTTAGCATTGGGAACTGGCCTGAATAATCTCTGAATGTCAGAAAAAAAGAATATCGTCATTTGGATATTATAAAATAAAGACCTTTAGAAGAGGCCGATATGAGGTATACACTCAATCCCAGAGATCTCTTGGCAGGTTTTGATACCATTAATTGGGGTATCCTTCTGAACTGAGTAGAGGATGCTGTGCTATGTTTTTTCCCCCTATGCAAATAATTCTAGTTGGTGTTGGAAGAAAGGCGCTGCAGCCTATGGCTACTCACTTGTAGATGCTATAGGGTTCTATATTTTCACCCCTTCTGTTTAACATCCATAAGTGACTGAGCGAGGTCATTTGTCGGTGCTTGATGTTTTCCAATTGTACATTTCAATCCTTGGTGTCTAAATGAGGCTGTCAGAGACTGAAGGCTGAGAATCTGGATGGAGAGGAATACATTTACTCTCAATCACATCAAGACTGAGGGGCTGTGGGTATTTAGGGCCCCAAATCCTGGAAATTTTCCATGTTGAGTCCTGGATGGATGAACACTTATAGCTGGTCCAGAATGCACTGAGGTGGGTAGTAATGGACATTTTTGGCATTCGTACATAACACTAATGCTCCATGAGCTCAACAGGTTGCCATTTGGCTTCTAGGTGCAATTCAAGATGCTAGTTTCCACCTATAAAACCCTTCATGGCATAGGGCCTGGCTATCTGACTACGATAGCATATCCTATACAATTGGACAATGCGGACACCTTACAGGTTCCAGTTGTCAAATAATTTCATCAAACAGGCCTTGGACTTTTGACCTTCTCTATTATGTCTGCTCTATGTAATAGCAGATCCCTCGGAATTGCATATCCCACCCTCACTTCATTTAAAAAGTCTGTGAAACATTGCTTTCCCCCAGACCTGGATTAGATAGTTGGTAATTATCTTATGGATTTTTATTTAAGTTAGTTGGAAAGTTTTCTCTTCGGGATGTACATTGCTTTTTGTTTTATTGTTCTTACTAATTTTAATGTTGTACAGTCTTTATGGAGGTGGGCAAATTTCTATTTTGACAAATAAATAAAAATAGCAACTAATATAGTTCCGATTATCAGGACAAGCAAAGATGTAAACACAATAATTCATCCTAACCTTCTCCCCCAAAATGGGAATTTGAGTCATATAAAGTTACTTTGCCCTACAATATACACTGAGTAATTTTTAAACAGAACCTGTTTTAAAAATTAATTTTTAAAACTTATTTAAAAGGTACACACAAGCCCTCCGATGTATTCCTTAAGTAAAGTTATAGCTGGATTTCAGACCCGTAATCAGATCATGATGGATCACATAGAAGAGCAAGATGAAGTCCTTCATTATTGCTTTTCTGATCACAGTGATGATGATGATGATGAAAACAATGCCAAGAGTGGAAGAAGATTCAGATTTAGGTATGTTTTTAATCAGATATGACCAATATATAGCTTGTAATATTAACATGTCTATCTGTTAGCTCATGCTGTGAAAATATATTTAAATGTGAAAGAATAATTTTATAGCAGGCAGGAAGAAGCTGAACCAACAGTCAACAATGTGTTGTGTAACTTCTGGTGGGGGACCTTCAAAGCGTCCTCTTCTGCTGATCTGAGTAAGAGGAAGTTAATAGCAGTAGACTTAATGGAGATGGTCCCTTAGTTTGTCAAGTTCTAAGCTAGTTATAGTTTAAAGATAAACTCTAGCATTTTAAATTTTGCTTTATAGGCAACTAGCAACCACTGCCGATCCTTCAGTACAAGTTCTTTATTATTTCTGTCCCCTGTATCATTTAGTAACCTAGATATGACATTATACCCCAATAACTGCAATTTCTGGATATTTACAAAGGTAACCCACCTAAACTACATTGCAGTTCAGTTCCAGAATAGCTAATAGAAAGTTGTATTTCTGTAGGATGCGATAGTACTTATAAAACTGTTTTTGAATTCATCAATAAACAAGATAATAGGAGTCGACCAGAAGTTCTCCAGCTGGACAAACGTGGGGGATGTGAGCTTTGAAGAATCTCACATGAACCCTGTCTGACAAACCAATTCCGAGATCCGTTTTTGGATCAGAACCTCCTGGGTGTGTGTGTGAAGAAGGGCCATTGTCTCACCAGACTCAGAGGGCGTGCAACAGGTCCCTCATAGGTCAGAGATTTGCCCTCTGAATCGGAGTCGGAGTGGCAGCATGGCAGCATTGCTGCACAAGAAGCTGGCTTCAGGCCAAAGCAGCTGAGCAGGAATGTGCAGAGGTGAGATGAAAGCCTGGTAAGAAGATCTATTAACCCAGAGTTATAAATCAGAATTTGGAAAAGGCAAAGAACCTTGAGAGCATAAATAATATTGATGGACAGATTGGGATTTGGGCAAAAAGAAAGAAAGGAGGAGGAAAATGGAGAGTTGAATCACAAGCCCAAAAGAGAACCATTTGCTTGACACAATTTGGACGGAAAGGATAAAGTAGAGAAGTGACAAACCCACTCAAACACAAGTTCTAGATTTTGTTTTAGACTTGAAAAGATTGTGTTTCTAAAGGAATCTAGGAGTGTGAAGATTTACTTCCTCCGAGTTTCTTCTAACTAACATATCTTAAGCAACTTTAATTAATGAGAGGTGGAATGCAACAAGGGAGAAAGATCAAGAAAAAGCACTATTTTCTCACTGACAACTGATAGCCTAATCTTGCCTGTGCGGGAAGTTCTAATTAATGAACTGCCATAAATCAGAACTTGGAAAAGCAGGAGGCGAAGAGAAGGCAAAGAGAAACATACCCGACTTTGGCTGTATGCAAATTTGTTCCAATTAATAATATTTTGAGCAACTATAACTAACGAGAGGTGGAAAGATAACGAGAGGTGGCAAGGGAAAAAAAATAAGAACAAGAACTGGGAAATACAAAGTTTTTTTCTGCAAAAAATCAAGAAGGCTCCAGCTTCTCTTCCATTTTCACATTAGTTGAATTAGATAAATTTAAGGTGGACCAGAACTTTGAAATAAGATCTGTATAACTAACTGCAATTTTGGAACTGGACATTAAGGAAGAACAAAAGACCAAAATGGCTTCCTTCGCTCTTCTCCACAGCAGTTGAATTAGATAAATTTAAGGTGGACCAGAACTTTGAAATAAGATCTGTATAACTAACTGCAATTTTGGAACTGGACATTAAGGAAGAACAAAAGACCAAGATTCCTCCTGTCATT